TAAATGCGTAAAACCTTCAGTATTTTTCACAAATATCTTTCAATCAATGACTAAATAACAGTACAACTTGGCTCCTCTGATTTGCCCAGATTTCTTCCATCATACTAAAAAAATCCCCCCCCCCCAAAAAAAATCTACCCCTCCCCCTTCTAACTCAGACGAAAATATGCCCTATGAAATCAGTTGTACACATGGTGCTGTCATGTGACCGATAGCTACAATGTAGGTCACAGTGAAGCTCAGTCAAAACAAAGTTTTGTTATCTGTTGCATAGAAATAAATATCTGTGAAGGTAAACTGTTCAAGACCAATCATGAGGGGGCAGGCTTATAGTAAAGTTACAGGTCAATACATCATTCTAGGCATAGATTTTCATTAAGAAAGTGCAATGATAAATGCTAGTAAACGCTAGTACCGGTAAATGAAACAGTTTTTTCAATGCTAGTAAATGCTAGTAAATGAAACAGTATTTTTCAATGCTAGTAAATGCTAGTAAATGAAACAGCCTTTTCAATTGTTTATCCTCCTGGCACAATGGCTGACTGATGTCTAGCGATTAGTTATTAAAGAAAATCACTAAAATTATAAAAAAAAAATAAGTTTGCATTGAATGCACAAGTATGAATAGCCACACAACAGCCTACTTGTTTACATGTCAATGAATAATTTCAAACCCTGATGGCTGACATTTTGTTGCATCACAATCAATAAATGATACTAATATAAGTACCTTCAATCTACTTGCTTTATCATATAATAATTCCCTGATAATTTTGAAATTAGTTGCACGACTTTCGTCCTGCAAATAAGGAAATTTCCCCTAGCGAGATAACAAAAACATTAAGATTATATAAATTAAATAAAGAAACAAATATATATTTGCTATATACCCTACGTGAGTAAACACAGTAATTTGCATAGTACGATAATGGAGATAAATTTGGACCAAGGCCAAGATATTGCTCCATGGAATTTAGGTTACGAAAAAAATGTATCTATTTAAAGAACAATGATAAGCTATCACAAGTAATAAAGGTAAATAATATAGCCTTCCTTCTCTTAAACACTACTCCAGTGATAGGTTTCCTGACTTTTGGACCTAAACATCACATAAAGCTAATCTTGTAGTTGTATTCTTGATGTAGGTAAAAGGTCTAATCATTCGGTGATAAAATAAGTTTCATATTCAATGATTGTATTCAAAGCATATTGATTTTAAAAAAATAGATTCAGAGCAGTGTAATAAATGGGCTAAGGAAGATAGATGGGAGATGACAGAAAGATATTGAGAGAGAGAGAGAGAGAGAGAGAGAGTATAACGACACAAATGGGGGGGGGGGGGGTTAAGAGAGAGAGAGAGAGAGAGAGAGAGAGAGAGAGAGAGAGAGAGAGAGCCAGAAAGGGTGGCAAAGGGAAATTGGACGGGAAAGAGAAGGATGGGTAAAGAATGAGAGACAGTGAAAAAGAATCAAAGAAAAGAGGGAGAGAGAGAGAGGGAGAGAGAGGGGGGGGGGGGAGACAGAAGAGGATGAGAGATAGAGGAGATGTTGGCAGAAAGAGTGAGGAATTTGAAAGATGAAAAGATAAGAAAACAGGTGAGGAAAGGGGAGGAAGAGAGGAAGAGAGAGAGAGAGAGAGAGAGAGAGAGAGAGAGACAGAGACAGAGACAGAAGAGGATGATAGCGAAAGAATGAGTATGAAAGATGAACAAATATCAAGAGAGGAAACAATAGGTTAACTTGAAAGAGAGGCAGTGAGATGAGAAACATATGAAGGCATAGATCATGTAGATATGGTTACATTCTTTAGAGAGAGGGAGAATATAGGAACAGGGAGAAAGAAGAGAGAGAGAGAGAGAGAGAGAGAGAGAGAGAGAGAGAGAGGGGGGGGCGGTTGAAAAAACACATACACACAACAAAAACAGAAATAAAACACAAAAAAATAGAAGAAATAAGGTGACAGTGAGAGAGAAAGAGACAAGGGGAAGATCGAGGAGAGGGGGGAATCGAGAGAGAGAGGGAGAAAGAGAGAAAGAGAGCCAGGTCTGTTGGGTCGCTGACCGGCTACGATATAGGTCAAGCCTGAGCCCTGTTTCCTGGAGCAGTTCATCTATACCACTCTCAATTAACCATCTCCAGCTTCACTTTCCTCCACCGATCGTTAAGCTTCACTGATCTTATGCATCCCACTCCTGACATCAATATTAACAGTATTATGTGGAAAGGAAATTACATGCAAACAAAATGTAATTCTTTTCGACTCCCCTGAAGCAGTGCTCAAATAGGCATACATCAGGTTTTTACTATTTTTTTTCTTCTCTGATGTATACAGCTGTATTCTCACTTCAGGGATGCCAGTTAGAATTGATCAGAGGGCCTGAAAATCACCTAGAATGAGCTATTTTGTACACAAAAAAGCCGAAACTATGTTCTGAACATAACTTGCCAGGGCCTGAATTCAGGCTATTGCCTGAAAACTGGCATCCCTGTCACTTGTGCATTTAAATAAATCTGTGTAACCGACTTAAAGCAAATTAAATGTAAAAACAAACTATCAATGAATTTACTTTAGATTGGACAAGAGTTAACATTGTAACCTGCACATGTGTCAAGTGTTTACATTACAATTTATTCATTGGACCCTACCAATCCTTAATATAAAAGGATAGAAGCATCTATTGAAATAAACATTATGTAAATTTGCCATTTGCTGACATTTTATGACCCCTTGTGTTGTTCCTGCCAACAGACAGTTTGTTTTATATCAAAATTAAGGTTGAATCATTACGACTTTTAGTTTGTTTTGAAGTGTTTACCAATTTGAATAATCATCTCTAAAAGCAATGCTGAGGAATAAGATTGAGGGTATGTATTCATAATCTTCTCTTTTCAAACATTTTAAAAATTAATTATGTGTCCCTCTATATTAGTATAAATGAGATACTTGGAAACTCAGTATAAATAAAATAATGCAGAAAACAGACAAGTGTACCATATAACATTCCCCACAAAAAGAGCCTATCCATGTAACCTTATACAATAAAAACAGACATGACGCACACACTACTCAAAGAATCTTGTCAAGAGAGGGCGCTATGCCAATCTGAATACAGACAACATTACACCCAACTACAATCTATATTTCCTCAATAAAAGATTTTTAAAAAGTAAGGGAATCAACATATACAAACCCCCAAGTCTTTTTTTCTTCAAATAACATGTAAATGGTTTGGAAGTTACCATACAGGTATTACTATCAGAGGAAATCAAATTAAGTCCATTTTATGGTTAGGATTGAATTCAGAGATAATGACATGCACTGACTTTCAGCAATATATTAGTCCTATGGCTCATCACTATAAACTATTTGTGTGTTTAACAACTTTTGCTACTCAGAAACAGCGATTATATTATGTACATATCAAAACACACTATACAGTGTACAAACATGATTTGCGCGATTAAACATGAAGGCCTTGTCTCTGCAAAGCTGCTTTGCGCCGTTTGACCCGGAAAGCAGAGAGTTGCTCGGAGGTCAACTAGAGCACACGCTTTTTTATTTTCTAATGTCTGTATATTGCTTCCTCACACAACTAATCTTTTCGCGACGTGCTTGCCCATCCCGCGAAGGGTACATGTAGCTGGCCTTCGCAACTTGAATTGCCAGTCCGGCAAATACGGTTTATTTCATACTTTCGATTTAAGTTCCTCTTGAATATTGGGTTCTGCCCACAGGAGCAGCAAACATCCAAGTTCATCAGGATCCCAGAAGAACCTTTCGCCTTTGTACTCGCACTGGCAGACATATCGTAATTAAAGGATAATAAACAGCGATTACTTGTCAATCTTCTTGTAGTTGTTAATGATAACAATACACTCAAATATACATGTAGTTGAAGCATTAAGACATTAATTACCACTTATACATTTTCTCTTATTTTAGCTAAGATATGTCTATTGTCATTTTATATTTATATGGGAATATTTGATTTTTTTTGTCTGGAAATCGGAGTATACTTGAACTGATGTGACAGGTCCCCCTCCCCCTATTTAGTTCTGTTCTCTATGATAATTTCAAGTTCCTGCCTTCAATGGTAGGAATTGTTTTTTTCTTTTTGATTGATTTACATGTAGATTCAAACACCACCATTATTAGTACACAAATCAACTCTCATAATTACAACTCCAAGCCATCTAAACTCTCACCCCAAAACACTCACAGAGACAGTCACTGACTACAACAGGAATCACACAGGTTCACCAAAAAATCATCCAAGAAACTTGCTTATCTTGTTTATTGCTAGCCATTATAATGATGCAGGCACTGAAAAAGTGTAGTGGTACATGTCACATGACATGATGATCCATGAGACTTATCTTCTGTCTCAGATCCTCATTACGCCTTTACGGCAGATAACTTCACGCAGGCACGCTGAGGGTATTTTATTACGCGGCATCAGTCTTTCGACTTTGCCAACGCGCTGATCAGGAACCTGAAATCCGGGTACACGCAATGCGCCGAAGAAAAAAACGTCATCGAAAATGCAGACGATCCTCATCAATTTAGGAATTGATTTTTCCGCGTATCCTCGTTTAAGTGGATGATCTTCATTCTCAGACCAAGGCCCCTACTGGTTCTGAACTAGCGCCCATTTTTCTCTTAATATTGCTGGTCTCGACTCTTACTTACTCTTGTCGCTCAACTAAGTGAACTAACTGATGCATGATGAACAGTCTGGGCCGGCGCAAACGGGCAAATGAGCAGTGCGTTCCCGCTCATAAAGTCATGTATTACCAACAACGCACATGCTGAAAAATGCAACAGAAACAAAGTCATAATGGACAGAAAAGAACCACCATTTTCGACACTCACACAAACAAAATGAAAATAAATCATTTACACTCATGATACTAATACATCAATTATAATCACTGCTACAAAACTTGAGATAATTTGAGTACAAAGTCAAAGACTGAAAGAGAATCGGTAGGAACACTAACCTGCCATGGGGGCTGCCATCTTGCATATACTATGGTGGTGTGGAGGACTCCAATTTGATCGGAATAAAGCAACTGAGATGTAGAAATAGTGGGGCAAAAAAAAAATGAATTTACCTTTTATACATTTGTTTAAATAATCATACAAAAAGTCTAAATATTTATTTAAGTTCAAAGACACATCGATAGATATAACACGATTTTAGCTTTATGTTTAATCATCACTTCTTTCTGTTTGTAAAAAAAATATTTTTTTTTTTTTTTTTTTTAATTTAAAAAAATCAATTTGTTTTCTCCCTTTCTGCGTTCACTATCAATACCATATATTTTCTGATGAAAATATTGGGGGTATGTTGTTGTTTTCCCCTTATGGGGTGAACAGGGACTCTCGTCCCTTTGTTTGCCTTTTACGTTTTGTGTATGTTTAATGTTAGGAACGTGAATTTTGTAATATCATAATCCATAGACATTATTTCTAAAAAATATATTAAATACTATTAAATGTATTATAGGCTTATATCAGGAAATTCCTGTTTACAGATTATTCAAAATGCTTCGAACAACCTTGTATACGTATAAACCCAATTATGGTTATCGAGAAAAAAATGTTGAAATTTATATAAAACTGACAACAAACGGTTCATCAGTATATCCAATATTTTCTTTTACAAGTTTTAGTTTTGTTTTCAGTTTTACAAGCGACTTTAAAAAGGTGTCCTATATTTCAAAGTAATTTATTAGCTTTAATATCTTCAGCTCTTCCTTTGGGACAATCATACAAATTGTGATTTTACCCTTTTATGAATTTTATCTCGCTTTTCCCTGACTGCCCCAGTTCGATTGGGGTAGCTCACTTCTACTTCTTCAAGACCTCTTGTTAAAAAAGGTTAAATGCTTTCAATATTTAAACTGTAAACGTAAGGACGGCACGGCGCGGCGCGGCGTCTTATAACTATGAAAATATAATAATAATAATAATAGAATTATGTAGCCTTTTTTTTTTAGTGTTACAAACCATTATATAAACGAGAAAAGGCTACACGATATAAATAATTTTGAAGTTACAGAGTAAAATCCTGCATTATTATTCGTATCCCTCGCCGCCCCTTCTCCGCTATTTCCCATACTCGACTAAATTTTGTAGGGCCTATACGCGTTTACAGTTTATTTGTAATTATCACTATCGTTACTTAAATTTTCACTGCATTTAATACTGCGGCAAATATGACTTAAAAAATCAAATTTTAAATTAAAAGTGAAAATTGTTCTAGTCAAAGAATGAAATGGGAGTAATATTACATACGGTATAGGCTTAAAAAATCATGCAATCGGTGAAAGAGGTGAAAGAAAGAGGAATATTGCATAAAGCAGCATAACCTGCTTTAATGCCAATTTTTTGTTTGTAGGAATAAACTGCATGTATGATTGAGATTTATATTAATGTTATTATCTTTATAGATAAACTGCGCATTAACTTTCTATCCTTGTGAGCACACGACTGTTAAACACTCGTATTTGCTCTTAACTGAGTTAATATTTGTTTTATCAATAGACGATTGAAGTGTCACATGAGAGGTTTGTTGAATATTGTATTCCGTCAGCTGGAGTTTGTAATCCATTTCCCTTAATTCTCACACAAACCACAGATTGTTAATTAGCGGAATATCCTCCTAATCGTGCAAGGGGGTATAGCTCAGTGGTAGAGCATTCGACTGCAGATCGAGAGGTCCCTGGTTCAAATCCGGGTGCCCCCTGATTTAACTTTTGTGTGTCAATTTGATTCTGTCCATAATGCAGAACGTTATATAATTATGTTTCCATTAAAATTAATAAATGCTTTTTGCAGACGATAGATGAATAAACTGATTTTAATTGAATCGATAGATATAAAATACCTGTTTTTGTTCTGTTTTTTTTTTCAATCTTGCTGCCTCCCCTTCTCATCATCTATTCATGTGAGGATTAGGGGATCTAAATAGCATTCGGCGATTATAAATAATTGTAATTACTATAATGACAGTCAAATGAATTATTTTTTCAAATATATTTAAAAAAACATAATACTCTTCCACATGTTTTGTAGTTGTTGAGTTGTTGATTATATATAAACAATGAAGCATTAACCGAGTTAATATTTGTTTTATCAATAGACGATTGAAGTGTCACATGAGAGGTTTGTTGAATATTGTATTCCATCAGCTGGAGTTTGTAATCCATATTCCCTTAATTCTCACACAAATCAAAGATTGATAATTAACTGAATATCCTCCTAATCGTGTAAGGGGGTATAGCTCAGTGGTAGAGCATTCGACTGCAGATCGAGAGGTCCCTGGTTCAAATCCGGGTGCCCCCTGATTTAACTTTTGTGTGTCAGTTTGATTCTGTCCATAATGCAGAACCTTTTATAATTTGTTTCCCATTAAAATTAATAAATGCTTTTTTCTGACGATAGATGAATAAACTGAATTGAATTGAATTGATAGATATCAAATTTCTTTTTTTGTTCTGTTTTGTTTATTTTTCAATCTTGCTATATCTCCCCTTTCTCCGTTCATCTTTTCATGAGAGGATTAGTGGATCTTAATAGTTTTCGACGATTAGAAACAATATTGTATTCCGTCAGCTGGAGTTTATAATCCATATTCCCTAAATGATTCTCTCAGAAATCACAGATTGTTAATTAAGAGAATATCAATCAAATCATGTAAGGGGGTATAGCTCAGTGGTAGAGCATTCGACTGCAGATCGAGAGGTCCCTGGTTCAAATCCGGGTGCCCCCTGATTTCAATTTTGTTTGTCAATTTGATGCTGTCCATAATGTAGATTTTTTTTTTACAAAAAAAATAGTTACCCCTTGTGTTGATATTATTTTGTATCATCTTTTCTTCAAAGGAATGCATATCGTTCTTTCTTGAAGTATATAACGACTCGTCACTCTCTGTTTCTGTCTGTTTGTTTGTTTTCTGTCTATGTGTCTGTCTGTCTGTCTCTCTCTCTGTCTTTCTCTCTCTCCCTTTCTCTCTATTTTTTCTTTATGTCCCTTTGTCTTTTTATCTTTATAAGGATGTCTCGTTCTGAGTTCTTGAAATTGCAAAATTAATTCACAAAGTATTTCATTTATTCATTATTGCTCGTTCTTTATAATTATGCTAAAGCCACTTTCAAACTATCAGAATTCTGAGTCGGATGTTACGTGTGGGGGTATAGCTCAGTGGTAGAGCATTCGACTGCAGATCGAGAGGTCTTTGGTTCAAATCCGGGTGCCCCCTCCATATTTTTAAAAATTAAAATAGTTACCCCTTGTGCTGATATGTGTATCATCGTTTCTTCAAAGGAACACATACTTTGCTTTCTTTTTGGAAGTATTGCACAGTCATGTTATACGAAGCATATTCTTTGGTGAAGACACGACCTGTCGCTGTCTGTCTCTGTCTGTTGTTTGTCGGTCTGTCTGTCTGTCTGCCTCTCTCTCTCTCTCTCTCTCTCTGTCTCCCTCCCTCTCTCTATTGCTCCTTCTCTTTCTCTCTCTGTCTCTCTCACTCTCTCTGTTTCTCTTTCTCTCACTTTCTCTTTCTATCTTGGGATTACACTTCTTCTCTTTCTCCTTCCTCTTCTTCTTGTTCTTCTGTTTATTGTTCTCCTTCTTTTTCTTATTTTCCTTCTTGTTCTTCTTGATGAGCTGAATGAACTTGTAATATTATTTTCAAATAATAAACACATAACAATAGGTATAAACAGTTTTACACAGTAACATAACAGGGACAAAAGGAACCACAAAATATCATGATCCTCTTCTCGTTCTTCTTGATCGCTTTGTTCCTCGTCTCACTACTACTAGTACTACTACTACTACAATAATATTTGTACTGCTGCTACTACTATTATTATTATTTATATTATTTTAATAATTATTATCGTTATTGTTATTATTATCATCATTATTATGATAATCATTACTACTACTACTTCTACTACTACTGCTACTGCTACTCCTTCATATAGCATTTAGATAGCAATTTCCACTATCCTTATAATCTTTCATTATCTGATCTCTTTCAAAATGCAACAAAATGTATGGCACTTACCGTAGCTGGCGCTCTTTAAAGTTACCTTTGGATGAGCTGGACTAGGATAGGCTTCACTGAGCTTACGTAGTTCCTGAATGCATAAAAGTGGGCGTGGGTCTGGTTTTGTTTACATCGAACTCATGTTTCGTCAGCTGTGTCGTTCACGCAGTACAGCCATATGTTTCTATATTCCTTCAATACTGCAAGAAAGGACTGAGCCCTATTATACTTTAGCATCGGCAGGGAGGGAGTATAGCTCAGGTAGAGCATTCGACTGCAGATCGAGAGGTCCCTGGTTCAAATCCGGGTGCTCCCTTGTATATGTTATTTTAGTTTTACCACAGGATACTGCAATAAACCCAATGTTTATAGAGTACTAAGACTTTGTACTGAATCGAAAATCAATGATATAAACATTTGTAGTAAAGAAACCTGCCCCAAATTCCCTCTCCATACAAGTATAGTGAGAGAGGAAGATAGATAGAAAGAGAGAGAGAGAGAGAGAGAGAGAGAGAGAGAGAAAGGGTTCGGAAGGGGTGGGGTAGATGGTGTATTTTGATAAGATAAAGGGAAGACTATACAACTTTAATTCTGTATAAATAATATGGTGAGAAATAGGAGGGAAAAAAATTGAAAGAAAATGTGTTTTATTCTGAAAAAGTAACTATGCTTGTTTATGTTTTTAGTTCATGAAATAACTGTATCCAGCGTGAAATATGTTTATATTATGTGGTTTTGCATGAATAACGATTTATACTGTGATTTAATATGTTTGTTTATCAATTGATAAAAAGTTTGTTATTATCATGTTCAGTTCGTATATAAGTTAGACTGTGGAAAATGTTTTGCTTTTATTTTCCTTCAATAATGCAGAAAAGGACTAAGTGCTATTATACCATTGTATTGTTGTGGTGGGGATATAGCTCAGTGGTAGAGCATTCGACTGCAGATCGAGAGGTCCCTGGTTCAAACCCGGGTGTCCCCTAGTCAAC